TGTTGTTGTCTCCCACTCAGTTAGACACAAATTACAATTGAATAACCATCAAAAAGTAAAAGCCCATGGATGAAAAACACACCATGTAGTCACAGAAGAACATTAACCAAGAAAAGAAAAAAGGAGGAAAAACAAAAAACCTGCAATATCTGGGGATAGGACACTAAGAAAAAAAACGTAGGGAAGGAGAATAATAAATGAAGAGGAAAATTGGAAAAATGCAAAAAAAAAAAAAAAACAACAACAACAACAGGAAATGGGGTTATTCATGAGAAAAATTGGGGAGAAGAAAAAAAAATTAAATTAAAAAAAAAAAAAAGAAATTCATCCAGTTATAGGGAAAAGAGAATATGCTGAAAAGTAGGACCTGGTAGGGGAATATTGAGAATAATAATAAAAAGGCAAAAGTATTAATAATATTAGTTGTTTAAAAACAGACAAATACAAGCAAACTAATCACCAGAAAAAAAGAAAGTGTAAAAGAAAAAAATAAAAATAAAAAAAGACAAAAAAAAAAATTGGTGGAGGACAGGGCAGTGCACCCAGGCTCCGTCTAAGCACAGAGACTGTGATGGAGTTCTTTGGGCCCAGAAGTACGTGGGAATTGTGGATGGCCGCACCTCTGTTCACCAAGTGGTTGTGAGGGTGTAAGAGTAACAAGAGGAATGTCGTACCTTTTCATTCTTGCAGGTCCCGAGTGTCCTTGGGTTGCTGGAAAGCAGAACGTGTTTTTAAGCCCCAGGAATCTGCGAGAGTGCTGTCTCTTTAAATATCCAAAATAGTTAAGTCACTTTTAAAACCTTCAAAATGGCGGGGCCCTCTGGATTGACAAAAGTCCACAGCTCAGTCCACCTTTCTCTTCACTTTCTCCGTTTGTTCCCCAGCCACCTTGCACAGTCCTCCGTGCAGTCACTGGCTAGCAGGGTGGTTTTTAGGTTAATTCTTAGGTCCTACCGCCACTCGGGAATCTCCGTGCTGTCTGTGCCTTCAGGATTGCTCAGGATCACTGTCAAACTGCAGCTTGATATGTCTCCTTTTTTAGTATTTTCACGCCAATTCTTCTGCTATTTGGGGTTTAACCCACTTCTGTATCCTTCCCTTCAAGGCTCAGGGGTCCAAGATTATCTTTTGTGTCTCTGTTAACTGGTTTCCCTTTTCTTTGTTGAAGAGAGTCTGCAGTCTTTCTGCCTAGTCTGCCATCTTGCCAGAACTCCCCTCTTGGGTTTCTCAGGCAGTATCACTACAGAAGTAGATTGCCAAACCTTACTTCTGAGGAGTGGCTGGTGAATTTGAACCACTAGCCTTCTGGTTAGCAGTCAAATACCTTAGGCACTATGCCACCAGAGCTCCCATATGAAGCAGAGGTTAAAGACGTTCCAAATGTCCAACTTTCCCCAAGTGTCATGCCACTCCTTCATCTCTGACATCAACTCCTCCTTCTCCCTCAATAATCTCCCTCACTTTTTAGGGGTCCGTAGTTCACTGTAACATCTACAGAATTCACAAACTCCCAAGGAAATGGCTCACGTGATGGTGGTAAAGTCTGGAAGACTGGCAGGCTGTCAAGGGCCAGGTCTGTGGGTAGTTCTCGAGTATTCTTCCAAGTCACATGGTTCCAGGGGTTGGCGAACTCAAATCAGCTCGTCAGATGACAGCTGCTGTGTCACGTCCAGGGTTGAGATGATGATGAACAAAATGGAGAACTCGAGCAAGAGAGTGAACTTTCCCAGAATATTCCTATATATACCCTCAAGGAAGCTAAAGGGGTGACTTGAGTCACACCCTCTAGCGAGGTAGGACTCAAGATACATCCCACCCTAAACAGGCATAGAGAATATGATTTACAATACATCACAAAATGGAAGATGATGGCTAGAAGCGCTATATTAAGTAAATCACCGTACTGCATTTGGCTATTAGATTCTTACCGGATATATGATTTGCAAAGATATTCTCCTATTTGGTAGCCAAGTCTTAATCTTTATGGAAACAACCTGCTACATCTTTGTCCCATGGAGCTGCTGGTGGGTTTGCTATCATTTCAGTTAGTAGCAGAGCTCTGAACCACTGCGTTACCTGGTTGCATAACACATAAATATTTCCTTAGAAATGTTACAGAGAAAAGTAAAACAGGGATGTGGGCATATGTGTTCATATTAGGGAAGTGCTTCAAATTTTATATAGCATGGTAGGGAACCCTTGCTCAGGAAAGTAGCATCATATGAGAGGGATTAAAATTTTTTAAATTGTAAACATTGTATGTGATTATACAAAACCAAAAACTTACTGCCATCAAGTCAATTTCTACTCATAACAACTCCCATTGGGTTCCCAGGGCTATAACTCTTTATGGAACCAGCCTCTCCCATCTTTCTTCTATGGAGTGTCTGGAGGGTTTGAACCACAGATCTTTTGGTTAGCAGCTAAATTCCTTAACTGCTACAACATCAGGCTCCTTTAAAAAAAAAAAAATCAACCCACTGCTCCTTAAAAGTACATAAATCCTAAGTATATAATTTGACTTGCTTTAAAAATAACATTTTGTTGTGTTTTTGTTGTTTTAAAAATTTGTTTATTGTGATGTGGGTGAAAGTTTCCAGAGTAAAATGATGTTCCATTCAACTAACAGTTCGCACACATTTTGTCTTGTGACATTCACTGCAGTTCCCTTAATATAATAGCCCTCTTAGGACTTCTTCCCTGTGTTTACCATTTGCCTTCTTTCCTGTCTCTTCCTACATTCTTAGCATTATCCCTGGGCAAATACTGCCCTTTTCATCTCGTAGTGTTGTTTGTTGATTGTTCTAATGAGTGCATACCTTCTTAATATTATTTTTCACCTAATAGGCCTGCCTGTCATTTTGCTAAAAGTTAGACCATTAGGGTGAGTTTAGTTCCCAGCTTGAAGGGTGCCTAAGGGCCATAGTCACAGGAGTTCCACCAGTCTCTATCAGACCAGGAAACATGATTTTGAATTTTGAACTTTCTGAATTTTTGAATTTTTTGAATTTTTTATGATTTTGAATTTTGTTCCACCTTTTTCTTCTATTCTCTTTGGGAGCTCCTGTTGTGATTCTTTTCAGAGCAGTCAGCTTTGGTGCCAGACACCATCTAATTCTTTTGTTCTCAGGGTTGTGGAGGCTGGGGTTCATGTGGATCCTTTAGTCTTTTGGATTAATTGTTTCCTTTTATCTTTGAGTTTTTTTTCAGTCTTCTTTGCTCCTAAGAAAGAGAGACTGATAGTTGCACCTTAGATAGCTACTCCCATGCTCTTAAAACCCCAGTTGCTACATACTAAAGTAGAATGTAGAATGTTATCTTTGTGGGCTATGTATGCTATGCCAGTTGACCTTAGTATCCTCCGAGACTGTGGTCCACAGCTCCCATGCCCAGTAACTCATGCCCTCAAGGTATTTGGTTATGACTGAGACGTTTTCATAACTTTGCCCTTGTATGCTCTACTATATTCATAGATACATTTGCAGTGCATATAAATACATACGTGGAGATATCCTCTGTCAAACCTGTACATATCTGTGGTATAGTCCTAGTCTCCTCTTCACCCCTGTTCAGCATGTGTGTGTGTCTATGCATTCATTAGTAGGTTATCGTAATTACTGTTATTGCAAGATTGTGTTTGTAATAGTATTTACCATTGTTGCCTTTAACTCTTGTGCTCCTCCCAGTATATTCCTGTGCCTTGATTATTTTGTGCTGACTTCCCCTTTATTATATATTTAATGAAGGTTTACACAGCAGTTTAAGTTCCCTTTTAACAAATTCTACACAAATTTTTCTGTGACATTGGTAACATTTTTCACAATGCATGAACATTCTCATCATTTGCCTTGTGGTTGGTTTCCCTTTATTATAGTTTCCCTGCCCCTTCACATTCTCGTCTTTGTTTTAAAGTAATCGCTGATCATTTTGTGTGATATATGTGATATTTTAAAGGCACACAGTAGTTATGGTTGATATTTATTATTTTGTAAGCCATATTTTAGCTGCAAGGTGATCTTGGGTTAGTTTTGGTACAAAGTTTAATGAAGTTTTACAAAGTATACGTACCATTTAACTAGCAGCCATTTTACCAACATTTCTTTGCTTCCTCCCCATCATTATTTACAAAGTTATCAGTTTTCTGATCTCTGGCATTGTAGATGACTTTTTCTTGGTTTTGAACTTGTATGAAAGGAATCATAAATATATACCTTTTTGTATCTGTCTTCTTTCATCAAGTGTGGTGTTCTGGAGATTCATCTATGTAGTTGCAGGTTATGACTGCTTTTTTCTACCCATTTAAAAACATCATGATAAGATATGTATAATGTAAAAATTTGCCATTTTAACCTAAATTTTTAAGTGTACTATTCTGTGACATTAATTATGTTCATAATGCAGTGCAGCCACCACTGCTACCTATTTCCAAACTTTTATTCCCCAAAAGAGAATCTTAGTAACTATTAAGCAATAACTCCTCATACCCCACCCTCCTGCCACCTCTGTTAACTACTAATCAACCTTTCTGTCTATACTAATTTACCTATTATAGATATTTCACGTAAGTTGAATAATCCAATATTTGTCCTTTTGTGACTGGCTTCTTTCATTCATCATAATGTTTTCAAGGTTCATCCATGCTGTAGCATGTGTTACAATTTCATTCCTTTATATGGCTGAATAATATTCTATTGAATACCATTTTATTTATCCATTCATCTGTTGATGGACTCGTGATAGATTTTTGGAAGGTTTGCTTTGGTAGCTCTATGGAGAGCAGACTGTTCACATGGGGTAGAGATCACACAGGGAGATCAATCAGGGCTATTGTAGTAATCAAGTCATGGTTTGAGAGTAAAAGGAACCCTAGAGTGTTAGTAGTTGAAGTGGTAAGAAGTGATTGATAATGAAAATAAAATACTAGATATATTTTGAAGGTAGATGAAGTTTGATGAAGATGAACAAGACTACAAGAGAGCAGATTGGTGGAGGAAATTTGGATTCATGTTTGCGCACATCAAGTGTGATGTATCTGTTCGACAGAAATGTGGAGCTTATAAGAGCAGGTAGTAGAATGTTTCAGTCTAGCTCTTAGTGTAGAAGCCTGGCCTGGAAAGACAAGTCTGGAGAATTAGGGGTGTTGTAATGTTATTTAAAGCCAGGCCTTTGAATATCATCAAGGGGCTAAGCACAGAAAGAAAAGGAAATCTTTGCAAAGCTGAGCCCTGGAGCACTCCAGAATTTAGAGGATGGGAGGGAAAGAGAAACGAGCAGGGGATAGTGAGGCAGAAGATCCACATGTGAGTGGTTTCTGGGAAGTAGAGTGAAGGAAACTGAGGATGACATGCATGAAAATGAGAAGCTGTGTGTGAATGTTAAACAATGTCACTACCAAAAATGGTTGGACAGATTGTGGAAGGCTGTGCTCCAAATATGTCCTATTCCAATATGATTTTCACTAGAGGCATGCAGGAGCAATAGAAGTAGTGGTGTTGCTATAAATATTATGAGAAAAGGAATGTCAACCTAAGAGAAAAGAGTTTAAAAGCATATTTGGGTACAAGTCTATGACCTGGGAAGATGCCACAGCTGCTGCTGGAAAGATAAAGAGAATGAAACTTGGAGGAAAATATGTCCCAGGTCATGTCTTTTGAAGGTTTGACATAGTCAAGTAAGGATATCTTTCATATAAGAAAAAAATAGGAGTGAGAGAAGAAAGGAGTTTGAAGGTGGTAGTCATTTGCAAGTTCTTGGCCACTCCTTTTAGTATGTGCACAACCTGCTCCCCAGTCAATCCCCCTGTACTTAGTCCAAAGAACCATTTTTATTCATTCTTATTCTAAGCCATCCAGTTGCTTAAGTCACTTTCAATTCAGCAGTAATTACAGATAGTTTTTGATTTACAATGTATTTGAGTTACAACAGAACACACTTACAACCATCTTATTTTTATTTTTTTATATCATTAGTATTGTGTACTACATACAATGTTGCAGCATGTAATTTGCTGACGTTATCATTCTCAGATGTAGAGACTAACCATATGAAGACCCTTTGGAGATCATTAACACTATCCCAAACAGAAGCCACCTTTAAAAAAACCTATGGCCACCTTTTGATTCTATCAGATGTTTCTGCAAAAAACAAACCCACTGCCATCAAGTCAATTTTGACTCATAGCGACCCCCATTGGATTTCCAAGGTAGTAAATCTTACAGAAGTAGATTACTGCCATGTTTTGAACTGCCATCCTTCTGGTTAGCAGTCAAATACCTTAGCCACTGCACCATCAGAGCTCGTGCTCTCTCTCTCTCTCTCTGTATATATATGGTTGTTGTTGTTATGTGCCATTGAGTCATACCCAACTCATAGTGACTCCTCCTTGGATTTCCAAGGCAGTATTACTATGGATGTATATTGCCCAACCTTTCTTCCGATGTGTGGCTGGTGGGTTTGAACCACCAGCCTTCTGGTTAGCAGTCAGGTGCCTTAGGCACTACACTGACAGAGCTATATACACAATATATTACACACACACACACACACACACATATATGTAATGAGTGGGGGTAGGAAGTGAAAGAGGGGTAGAGAGGTTTGTTTACTTCTAGAGATTGCCTCATGGGATTGTGAGCAGGTCAAAATTTGTAGGTCAAATGGCAAGCTGGAGACTTCTGCAGGCTCGAATCCCAAGATAAATAGGTTAGACGATAGGATTAGGATAGATCGAGTTCTGCCAAAATATCTGTTATAGTTTGCAGAGGAACACTTGCTCAGGAAACTCCTTTTTACAATAGATTGATTATGTTGCATTATATTAGATTCTAGGAGCTCTGGTGGTGTAGTGCGTAAGGCATTTGACTTCTAGCCAGAAGGCTGGGGATTCAAACCTACCAGCTGCTCCTCAGAAGGAAGATTGGACAGTCTACTTCCGTGATATCACCTCCAAATCCCAAAGAGGAGTTGCTATGAGTCGGGTCTGACTCAATGGCATTTGAGTTTGTTTGTTTTTGTTATATTACATTATGGAGTGTGATTATGTTATATTACATTAGATCACATTATAATTTATTGTATTACGGAACAGCAACCAGATTTGTATTTGGTCAATCCACTGAAAATCATAGCCTAACCTAAGTGACACTTAAAATTAACCATCATGTTAGAACAGAGAGTTCTTATATATATTTACATACCTCATATCTATCTTGGCTCAAGGCAAAGAATACCAGAAAGATGTCTACTTGTGTTTTATTGACTATGCAAAGGCATTTGATTGTGTGGATCATGACAAATTATGGGTTATTCTTAAACTTTTTTAGGGCCAAGAGAAACCCTTTTAGAATTTGCTGAAATCTAGTTCCCTTTTGTCTCCACGTCCCAGGTTCTCATACTTCTTGTTACATTTTGCTTATACATTGTAGAGGCGTTAATGTCCTCAGTGAGAGCATTTACTCAGTGCTTAAAATGAATTTCTAAGTTTGAAATAACTAAAGAAAAAATTCAAACCTCAAGTTGCAATATTGAAGGATTCTATTGGTAAAATATTGCATGATTCAGGAAGCATCAAAAGAAGTTGGAGGGAATATACTGAGACACTGTACCAAAAATAACTGATTGACAATCAGCCATTTCAGGAGATAGCATATGATCAAGAACTGATTTTATTAAAGGAAGAAGTCCAAGCTGCACTGAAGGAATTGGCGAAAAACAAGTCTCCTGGAATTGATGAAGTACCAATTGAGATGTTTTAGAAAACAGATACAGTGCTGGAAATGCGCACTCTTATGCCAACTGGAAGAGATCCATATTTGTGCCCATTCCAAAGAAAGGTGATCTAGTAGGATATGGAAATTATCAAACATTATCATTGATTTCACAAGCAAATAAGATTTTGCTGAAAATAATTTTAAAATAGTTGGAGAAGTACATTGGCAGGGAACTGCCAGGAATTCAAACTGGATTCAGAAGAGGATATGGAATGAGTGATATTGTTGCAGATGTCAGATGAATCCTGGCTGAAAGCAGAAAATACCAGAAAGATGTTTACCTCTGTTTTACTGATTATGCAAAGGCATTTGACTGTGGATCATAACAAATTGTGGATAACTTTGTGAAGAATAAAGAGCTCTGGTGGTGTAGTGGTTAAAGCATTTGGCTGCTAAGCAGAAAGTCAGTGGTTTTAACCCACCAGCTGCACCATGGAAGAAAGATGGGGCAGTCTGCTTCTGTAAAGATTTACAGCTTTGGAAACCAGTGGGTGTCACTATGAGTCAGAATCAACTCAGTGGCAGTGAGTTTGGTTTGGTTTTTCAGCTGCGAAGAATGGGAATTCTAGAACACTTAATTGTGCTAATGAGAAACCTGTACATAAACTGAGAGGTGGCCATTTGAATAGAAAAAGGGAATATTTCATGGTTTCACATAAAGAAAGGTGTGCATCAGGGTTATATCCTTTCACCATTACTTATTCAATCTGTATGCTAAGCAAATAATCTGAGAATCTGGACTATATGAAGAAGAATGTGGCATGAGGATTGGAGGTAGATTCAAGATTGTGCAGATGACAAAACCTTGCTTGCTGAAGTAAGAGAACTTGAAGCACTAACTGATGTAGATCAAAGACTATATCCTTCAGCACTTGATAAAACAAAAATCCTCAGAAGTGGACCAATAAGCAGCATCATTATAAATGGAGAAAAGTTTAAGGTTCTTCAGGATTTCATTTTACTTTGACCCATATTCAATTTCCATGGAAGCAGTAGCCAAGAAATCCAACAATGTACTGCATTGGGCAAATCTGCTGCAAAAGACCTTTAAAAGTGTTAAAGAGCTAAGATGTCACTTTGAAGAGTAAGGTGTGGCTGACCAAAGCCATCATCATTTCAATAACTCTATATGCATGTCATGCATCTCTCAAGCACTGAAGGGCAAAGATATCTCCTTGAAGACTAAGATGCGCCCAGCCCAAGCCATGGTATTTTCAATCACCTGATATGCATGTGAGAGCTGGACAATGAATAAGGAAGACCGAAGAAGAGTTGACGCTTTTGAGTTGTGTTGGCAAAGAATGCTGAAAGTACCGTGAACTAACAAATCTGTCCCAGAGGAAGTGCAGCCAGAATGCTCCTTGGAAGCGAGAATGGCCAGACTTCATCTCACTTACTTTGATCATGTTGTCAGGAGGGACCATTCTCTGGAGAAGGATGTCATGCTTCATAAAGTAGAGGGTCAACAAAAGAGAGGAAGGTCCTCAACAAGGTGGATTGACACCATGGCTGCAGCGATGGGCTCAGGTATAGTAGGGATTGTGAGGCTGGCACAGGATCAGGCCGTGTATCGTTCTGTTGTACATAAGGTTGCTATGAGTTGGAGACAGCTTGACAGCACATAACAACAGCAAATGCACGTGGAAGCTGAACAGTAAGGAAGACTGCAGAAGAATTGATGCATTTGAATTATGGTGTTGGTGAAGAATATTGACTAATGGACTGCCAGAAGAACAAACAAATGTGTCTTGGGAAAAGCATAGCCCAAATCCTCCTTAGAAGCAAGAATGGCCAAACTTTGTCTCTTGTACTTAGATCATGTTATCAGGAGGGACCAGTCCCTGGAGAAGTATATCATGCTTGGTAAAGTAGTGAAAAAGAAGACCCTCAGGGAGATGGATTGACACAGTGGCTTCAATCAACATGATTGAACCCTGCATGTATCCGAGTTCATCCAGGTTGCCATGGAGTTGGCCTCTGACTCATAGTAATCCTGCGTACAATGGGACAAAATGCTGCCTGGTCCTGCACCATCCCCATAATTGGTTATAGATGGGTTTGTTTTGAGCCATAGGGTTTTCATTGGCTGATTTTCCATCAGAAGTAGATTGCCAGGCATTTCTTCCTACTCTTAGTCAGGAATCTCTGCTGAAATCTTTTCAGCATCATAGCAACACATAAGCCTCCACTGACAGACAGGTGCTAGCTGCACATGAAACGCACTGGCCAGGAATCTAACCTGTGTCTCATGTATAGAGAGTGAGAATCTTCACACTGAACCACCACTGCCATGTAGGGTAATACACTGAAATCTGCAAGCTGTAGTTTGATAAGACTGCCTTCTATTTATGGGTCTCACAAGTTTTCTGCCTTTGACAAGATGTAGTCTGCAGTCTTACCACTTTTATGCCTGTGTTTTTAGTGTAAAATATTGGAGTTATCCTTCTGTGACGGTTAAGTTTGTGTGTCAACTTGGCTGGGCCTGGTTGAATGTCTGAGCAGCTGAATGTAATTCTTCCCCATGGTGAGACTGGTAATTAACTTCATGGTAGAATGTATTGGAGCAGCTGAGTAGCTGCTTTGGTATGAGGTCTGCTTCCTATATATAAGAAATAGCTTTGGGAATGGTTTCTAGCTTATGGCATGATTGAACCCTGCATGTAGCCAAGTCATTGTTCAGGAGCTTGTTGATCCTGGGACTTTCAATGGACTTGAATCAATGGTCTGCCATGTGGTTTGGTAACATTGGGACTGTGCCTTTTTACTTGTCATCCTTGGGCTGGGCAGCCTCAGCAGCCAGCAGCTGAGTGAAGAAAAGCCTCTAGCTCCAGTGGGCTGGGAGCAGGAGGCAGAGCTGAAGCCCAAGGTTAGGGGCTTTCACCCAGCCTTTAGAGCCTGGCCTTTGAACTCGGACTTAAAGCCTCCAAACTGTAAGAGAATAAACTCCTATATCTTCAAGCCATCTCATTTGTAGTATATCCTTGTCAGAGCAGTACTAGGTAACCAAAACACCTTCCCTGACAGATTTCCTCCATATACAGATTCTGACTTTCACAGTTTTACTGTACATTTTTGTTGTTAGATGCTAGCAAGTCAATTTTAGACTTAATGTGACCCCATGTAATGGAGTAGAACTGCCCCAGAGGGTTTTCTAGGCTATCGTCTTTATAGGAACAGATTGACAGGTCTTTCTCCCACAGTGCCGCTGGCTAGGTTTGAAGTACTGACCTTTCAGTTAGTGGCCAAGTGCTTAACCATTGTGCCACCAAGGGTAATAAATCAGACTGAAAGAAAGGAAAATCACATCCCACTATAACCAGCACAACTTACTCAAAGAGAGTCCCAGCATTTATCATGCCAACAATAGCTGTGTTTATGTATGGAGAGATGACTTCTGCTTACAATTAAATACTAAAGTTTGAATCACCTCTTTCTCATCTACAAGGAATGGCTCGCCTATGTCCTGACCCAAATGGGTGTGAAAATGCCTGTGCTTCAGAATTGAAAGCTGGCTAGGAAAAACCCTTTTCACGATAGAGTTGAATTAATCAAGGTTATTTATCTTTAGGATATATATTTATTTGACTATTTCACACTATTTGTCAATTTCTAAGCCTTTAATATTTTTTATGCCCCCTCTAGATGTATGTGCATAGTTCAAGTGTGTCTGGTTTCTTGTGATCTCTCCATTTTTAAATAGTGCTGAGTGATGGTATTTGTAACATGCTAATCTAACATTTCAAATCCAAACTGAAGTCATTAATGCTTTAGCACAGCTCCACTGACTACTGCCTTGCATAGCTTAGCTTGTCTTTGTTTTATACGAGCTCCTGCTTCTGTTTAGGTTTTAATGATAGAAACTTTCATACTGCCTATAGAGCCATTCATTCATAAATTGCACACCCTTTTATGGAGTACATTCTGTCCTCAAGCTGCTTATGTTTTGTTAAGGAAGGTTTAAATAAGTTTTTACCTGCTGTCAGGTTATCCCTGATTCATGGCAACCCCATCCAAAATGAGATCAGATCTTTGTGAGCCATAGGGTTTTCACTGGCTGATTTTTGGAAGTAGATAACCAGGCCTTTCTTCCTAGTTTGGCTTGGTCTGGAAGCACTGCAGAAACCTGCTCAGCATCATAGTGACACACAATCATCTATTGACAGATGGGTGGTGGCTGCACTTGAAGTACATTGGCTGGGAATTTAATCAGGGTTGCCTGCATAGAAGGGGAGAATTGTACCACTAAACCACCACTGGATTAAAAAATAATACAGCTATTAATTCAAGGAAGAATGGGATGATGGCCATAGGAGAGCTGTAAGGTTTGGGGAGGAATTTTAGAGAATGAAGGCATTCCTTCTAGAAGGTTTTATGAAGATGTCAACAGGAGTTTGGCTTCTAATGGGTGGGTTAAGTTTGGACTAGAAATGATAGAAGGAAATTTCTGGAAATGGAGAGGAATAGAGATAAAAACTGAGGGGTACATTTAGACACAAGTAACCCCGGTGGACCAGAAGATAGCTGGGGCTGAACTCCAAGGGTGCTGCAGGCAGATATTTTAGGAACCAGTGAAATAGTGAGGATTCACTTAGAGACATCCATGCTGTTAGAGTAAACCAGTCAGTGTATATGTAGCTAAGCAATTTGTGCCTGGTTCCATCTGAAAATCATTTGTACTTCATTTTTAGAATACAACTTTTCTGAACATGGTCTTATCTTAAGTAGTGTCTGAATTGGCCACATGCATTTTGTTCATTAACTCTTATCTTACATTCACTACCTAAGTGGAGTGATCCAATATGGAATTTTAAACTGTCCTTGATATTGGTTTGATGTCATAAACTTTATCTATTCAGTGGATTTGGTGTCAGCATACCCTTCCCTATCTTTACAAGTTGTAACTTCCTTTGACCAATGAGACCAAATCCAGGCCAAGGTTATGACTAAAAGTATAAAAGTAGACGTGATAGAGAATGCTATCTGCTAGGATATGGCAGAAGGGTCTACATGAGGGTCCCAAAATATTTGTGTAGATTGTCAATTATGCATGCTCATCCTTTTTTTCCCAGTACTCGAAAAACGTTAATGGGCTAGAAGCAGATCACTCATGTTCTGTTTGAAATTTGTTTGCTCCAAGTTGAATACTTAACTTTGTTATTGCCCTTCATGTGGGATGTATTTTTAAATAGATGCCTACTGTTATGCTTCACAATGTGATTGGTGGGCAGTTGTGCATGTTGAGAAGAAGAGTGGATTTGTGTTACTATAAAGATTAGTTTTCAGGAGAACATCTGTCCTTAAAATTGTGGAGGTGTGTAGGAAGGCAAATGAGTTGGTAAAGAAGTTCTCTAGTTCTGAATTTACCCTGGACCTCATTCTTGGGGACAGCAGCTGAATCTGACTGCAAAAGTGTTTTATTTCACCCAAATTACCATACAAAAAAAAAAAAGTGTTTTATTTTGCTAGCCGGTGTTTTAATTTTGGTCTATCAAGTTATATCTATCTGTCTTTCTATCTGTTTATTTTTATTTGCCTGATGGCAGTGTGAATGGGGCTCCATTTGAGAAAATTCCATCACTTTCTCATGTCTAAAACTTAAAACTTCCCAAGTTTACTAGCCTGTGCTGTGAAGCATTCACATTTGCCATTCTTGGGATAAACTTATGAATCCCTCTTACTATTGTATTTAAAAAATAAAAATAAAAATTCACTGACGTCGAGTGAGATCCGACTCATAGCAACCCTTCCTTGGGTTTCTGAGGCAGTATCACTATGGAACTAGGTTGCCCAATCTTCCTTCTGAGGAGTGGCTGGTGGGTTTGAACTGCCAGCCTAATGGTTAGCAGTCAGATGCCTTAGGCACTATGCCAAAATCTGATACTATAAAAGCACTTTAGAAGTTCCCAGTCTTATCCCTCATAAGTTTTCTTTAAACATTGGACAGTGCTGGAATACTATTGTTTCTGTCTAAGTAGGTAATGAAAGACCACTGGAGTGAAATGTATTTATTATGTATAATCTTGTTCTTTTTGCCTAGGTGAAATGGAGACTCCTGATGTGAATGATGCTCTGGGACAGCTCCGTGGACACAACAGCCCTCTTCCAACTCTGAGAGGTAAACTGTCATATACAGGTTCTCTTTCAGTAGGATTCTTTTAAAATGTTTCCTGCATATCATATGGCAACACTAACAGTTGATTTGCCATTTCTACTCAAGGAGCCCTGATGGTAAAATGGTTAAGTGTGCTTGCTGCTAACCAAAGGTTGGTGATTATAACCTACCTAGTGGTTCCGCAGACCTGGTGATCTGCTCTTGTAAAGATTACAGCCTAGGAAACCCTATGAGACAATTTTACTCTATCATATAGGGTTGCTGTGAGTTGGAATGACTTGATGGCACATACATATACACACTCAAGGTTTGACCTGCCTGAATTTATAGATGAAAGTGGCCTGACCTGTTGCAGCTCCCAATAGGTGGTATATAGTGAAACACTTATCTTGATATCTGCATTTCTTGACATAGTTTGAGGATATTGTAGACTGGTTTGAACTGGTAGGAGGCTGAGAAGATGAAGGGTAAGAAGTAGGCAAATGCTACCCAGCAGGGAAGGGAAAAGATTTTGGGGGTTCTTAGCAGGTCTGAATAGAGACCCAAGAGCTATATGCTTGTCTTACCTATTAACCAGTTGGCTGACCATCTTCTCGGTTTACTTTCCTCAGTGTCATAGTTCAGAGGTGGGTGGGTGCCTCAAGCAGCACTCTTCCATAAGGTCATCAAGGGTGCCAGCTCACTCTGTCTTATTGTTTCAGCCTTTCCTAGAGTTTTACTGTCAGAGCCACTGTCTACTTTGCACAATTATATTTACAGGCATCATACTTTGTGGAGCTGACATAATAAGTTTCCCTCAGACAGCAGGCACATACCTTGAGAAAGTGGTACTATTTCCTAATCCAGACTCTATCACCATGTTGCTATAGATTATCTATTAGGAAAAAAATATATTTCATATAATTGGTTAGCTCTCATTTGAATATGACCCAAAGACTCTTAGTCGTTCTTTAGTTTCCTGTACTTTGAAGATCCCCATCTATCCTCAGGGTGGTGCTTACTTCCAAGTATCCAAGACTGTCTGTTGGAGATAACAGAGATGACTTGAATCTGCCCGTCTTAGCTTACCAATAACACTTGCTTGTCAATTCAGTTCCAACTCATGGTGACATCATGTGTGTCATAGTAGAGCTGTATTGTATAGGGTTTTCAGTGGCTGATTTTTCAGAAGTAAATCACCAGGGCTTTCTTCTGAGGCACTTTTGGATGGACTCAGAAACCTCCAACTTTTCGGTTAGCAGTCAAGTCTATCAAACTGTTTGTACCACCAAGGGACGCCTGTCTCGGCCTTGGTACCTAGAATGTCCATTTATGTCTCACTTGTCTGTGTGTAGGTCAGTTGTTTTAAATGAAAATTTAATGGTATATTAACATGGTTTTGGGAGGTTGCTTTAAGAGAAATTTAACCCCTCTGCTATGTTAAGGGAGCTCTGGTGGTGCTGTGGTTAAAGCATTGGCTGCTAACCAAAAGGTGGGCAGTTCAAACCTTCCAGCTGCTCTGTGGGAGAAAGATGAGGCAGTCTGCTTCCATAAAGATTTACAGCTTTGGAAATCCTATAGGGTAGTTCTACACTGTCCTATAGGGTTGCTGTGGGTTGGAATTGACTTGATGGCAGTGGGTTTCTTTGTTTTGTTTTGTTTTTATTTTAGTATGTTAAAAGTAGTAAATTGCATGAATTGGTTTCCTAATGTTAACCATCTTTGCTGCCTTGGGCATCAGTCCTTCTCACGGTCATGAAGCTTTATTTAAGGGAAGGAATTTGACCAGGAGAGAGATGTGCCATCTCGCCTAGCTAGGTTGTGCCTCCTTGTCATTTATGTGAGCCCAGCCAGTGTTCATCTTGTCTGCAAAAGGCTAAAAACTTGTGCTTCGAAAGCTTGCTTAGAACATGGGCCTCAGTGAGAGGTGATGGAATCTTTTTCACACTGAGCAAAGTAGACAAACCACAATAATGGTATAAAATCAAACTTACAGCAATTCTGTACACTCTAGTATTTTCTTGGAATAATGTATTCCAACAGCCTATTTAAGATATGACTAAGAACGCTGGTGTCTCAGTGCCTAAAGCATTTGACTACCCACCAGCCATTCCATGGAAGGAAGTGTTAGAGCTCCGTCAGCACTCAACGACCATGCCACACACCAGGGTACCCAACAGGAGATTTTATTAAGGAGGCGAAAGGGTGCCTGCACTGAGGAAGGAAAGAAGAAGAAGAGGAGGAAGAAGAGGAAGAAAAGGAGAAGAGGAAGAAGAGAAGAAGAAAGAAAGAGGAAGAATAGAAGAAGAGAAGAGAGGAAGAAGAGGAAGAGGAGGAAAAAGAGAGAGAGGAATAGGGTGGTCTTATATAGATCTGGGGTTAGGAGGTTGTACATCAGAGCTAGGGGAAGAGGTCTTAACCTATCAGAGGCTATGTTGCCTTTTAAAATTTGCGCCTTGCAGGAAGCTCAGTTTCGACTTCCTTTAACTGACTTATGACCTTGGGTGGGGCAGCAGGGAATGAAGAAGAACCCGGAAGAGCCACGCAAGATGGCGTGGCATATCTCTAACAGGAAGACTGGGCAATCTACTTCAGTAAAGATTTTCCGCTTCAGAAACCCAAAGTGGGTCACTGTGAATTGGAAGTAACTCAATGGAAATGAATTTGGTTTTAGGTTGAGTTTATTTGAGATGTGAAGGAAACCTTTTCCCACATCCTGAGGTAGAGAATGTAGGGGCTTCCTTATGGGACCAAGCTTGAAGATGGTGGTGGAAACAGCTTTATATGTAGTGTTCATTCTTGTTAGACCTTTGAGAGTCAGAGGAGGCTGCAGTAATTATGGCTCACTTAAATGGAAGATGAATTTGCTTATTGAGATAAGAAATGTGACCATGATCTAAAGTTTAATAGAAATTTTTATTTCCAGCTAGCCACATGTTTCAAACATTTGTGTATCAAATTTGATACATTAAGATGGGATTCTTCAACCTCCATTTTTGGTATTTGAACAATTTCTAAAGCTTAAGAGTAGGATGCTTGCTAATATCCTCTTTGTTTATTTTGGATTTGATTTCCTGACTTTAAAAAAAAAAAAACAAACAAACCCACAAGTGATTGTGTTGAAAACCATGTGCTTCAGTGCTGGGAAGGGTTTCAATCAGAATTTGGAAGCTTGCCTTGGAACTCTCCAGAGCACAGAAACCCTGATTGCTAAAGTTAACCTGTAAGGCTGTGCACGCATGTGCATGCATGTGCTTACAAAAGCATAGTACGAAGACAGAGCAGAGAGCCACAAAAGGCTAGGCCTCTTTGTAAGCTGGTGGGTAGTTGGGGTTCGAGCAGCCAGCAGGCACTAGACCAGCCATGTATGGCTCCTAAATTTTAAACTAATAAAAATAAAATAAGAAAAAATAATAAATTAAGAATTCATTTCCTTGGTTGCACAGTCCACAAGCTTGGTTTGCAAGAGGACAGACCTAGATTTGAGTAGTGGCTCCTGCATCCATCTGGGACCAGAGCTTTGAGCATGGTCCTGCCCTGCCCTAGTCTCCATTTAGCTGGTAAACAGAGATAATAGCAACTTCAGCTGTAGGTGAGATGAAGGGCATGGATCTTAGGCAGCATCCTGAAAGGAGTAACTGGTGATGATGCCATTTGTTAACATTACAATTATGATCATTGGTGGGTTCAACTGTTCTCAAGCATCATTACCCCCCTCTGGGACAGGATTAAGAATAAGCCTCCACCAGAGTGTCAGGGTGGTGCATAGACTCTTTTATTCTCTACTCCTGTGATATGGTTGCACTTTTTTCTGAGTTATGGCCCTTGCACAAAAGGTTTACTAACTCCTACCTGCCTATTCATACCATCTGCAATAGAAGGAATCATCCAGGCAATGCCAGACTCATTATCTCATGTCCTTTCTTTTAAGACCTTCTGGGAATGCCACCGCTTGACCATATAGCCATAGCTCAGATATATAAATTTATTAGCTGAATTTCTTGCATTAGCTATTTCTGCAGTCCAGTTACTATCTGTAAAATGAGATGCAGGTGAAATTTGCAAACAGACCAGTCTGTCAGTGATACAAGAACTCTACCTTAGCCCAAACAAAATAAAATCTTAAGAACTTTTTAAAAACAATAAAAGTATTTTTGTTCCAGTGTACTATGCCAGCATTTAGCACTTAACATATAGTTGCTATTGAGAAACAGCAAGAGTGAGAGAAAGATGAATCGCAGAGCAGAAATCCTCTATATAAGAGAAAATGAGCACAAGAAACATTGTGATTTACAGGTGAAAAGTTAGCCTTACATTTCCACATACCAAGGTAGTAGTATTGTTAGGATTAAAGCTGATTTTAGTACTCTGGTAAGTGGATATTTAATTAGGGAGCTCTAGTGGCATAGTGCCTAAGGCATTTGTAATAGGAGTTTTATATTCTTTGTTACGTTGTTGTTGTTATGTGCCTTCGACTCATAGTGACCCCTCCTTGGGTTTCCGAGACAGTATCACTACGGAAGTAGAGTGCCCCACCTTCCTTACAAGGAGTGGCTGGTGGGTTTGAACCGCCAGCCTTCTGGTTAGCAGTCAAGTGCTTTAGCCTCTATGCTACCAGAGCTCTCTTTTGTTACATTAGACATGCAATATCTCTCTGTCTCTCTCTTTCTCTCTCTCTCTTTCTTTCTCCATACATCTGTCCACACACATGCATAGTTGAATCTTGTGACTCACAGTAGTTTTGTTCTATTAAATCACCGTGACTCCAGGGGGAAGTATACGGTTAGGTTTCTGCGAGCCTCTGTTCACATTTTTTGTCAGGTGATCAATACATAACCTTGTTTTATGTGTGCTTCTGTTTAAAGACAGTTTATTTAATGTGTTACTGATTCATTAAGATTGGGTTCTTGATCAACCACACTGTAATTCATGCTTGAACAAAAGCTTATATATATTTGGGAGCTCTGGTGGCTAGTGCCTAAGGCATTTGACTGCTAACCAGAGGCTGGTGGTTCAAACCCACC